ATTTCGTACTTTAATAATGTTTATTCACTTTAAAAATCGAATTAAATTTTAACTTATATTTAACAGAAAAAAAAATTGTCTATGTGAATAAATAGTGGTTCCACTAAAGACGAACCTAGCATTTTTTTACTATTTTTTGTTTTATTTATTATAGAGACAAATTAGCTACAGCATTGAATATTTTATAAATAATTATGGTATACATAAATAATTATTTAAATTGTATTAAACATTCCAAACAAGATGGTTGCCTATGGGCATTGATATGGCAAACCTGTGAGCCTGGTAGATTTTTCGGGGTCAATGATATAGATAGTTATATAGATTGATCATCCATGTTTTTCAAAATAAACAAAGGTTATGTCTTGAAGTAAAAATGTAGGTAATTATTTTTTTATTATATTTAAAGGCTGCAATTTGGTTTTAAAACACAGCTTTGCTAAACCGATTCCGATTAATTAGCACTTGCGAGATAATATGGCTGCTCGTAATGCGACTCGCTTTGAGCAATCTATATAAATATAATATCATTGACCCTGTCAAAGCCCACACCCCACAGGCTGCAATTTTGACAGGTCATACCTTTGTAAAAGTACTTGGGGAGTAGTACCCGAGAATAACCAAACGCCGAGAAGCGACAGCTTTGTCGGAACGTTTGATGTTTGTGGGGTCGATTTGCGGTGACCTTGAAGACACCATAATTACACCGCACGCAAGCTGAATTGGTTCGCAGTCGCACGTTCACGCGGAAATTTTTATTTTGCATTTAAAATTATATGCCTTTCGGAAATGCAAAAAGACTCATTCCGCTGCCACTTTTGGAATCACATTCATGAACTACACAATAATATCCAACCATTTTGTTACGAAATTATCCAGAAAACACACAATAAAAATCACACAGTAATAACTGAAAGAAATAATTCAAAACAGTCGAAACTACAGTTGTTGCGCTCGGATCAAAATCGCTGGACACCTTCCTATACGGTGTCGCGCTGATCTAGCTGGCCACATGCAAATGCGCTGGTTCAGTGTGATGTCATTTTGGTTCCACTGACATTTAATTCTAACCAAACCTTTAACAAAAACATCAATAAATTTGACATATACGTTTTTACTGTTTTTAGTTTATTTCTAAATATTGTTTATAGGCCATAAAAAATAGTTTAAAGGTATGTAATTGGTAACTAAACGATTGTATATTTGATACATTCTATCTACTTACTTTAGGAATATATTTATAAAAGTGAAAAAACGATATAATTTAGGTAAACAAAACGAACAAAACGCACTCAAAAAATCTACTGTCACTTTAATTGTCAGTGGAACAATAATTACATCATCACTGAACTAGCGCATAGACACCATATTTTCGATCATGCGCCATTGAAAACCGACCCGGCGGGAAAGGGTCTTTGTCGCTTCTCGGCGTTTGGTTATTCTCAGGCAGTAAGTACTTCGATTAATTTAAAAGTGTTTAAATTACATAGATGATAAATAAATTTGGGGAAGATTTTTTAGAAGACAAAAATTTGACAGCACCATCAACACAAAACATTACCTTCTAATGTTTTGTAGTATTTAAAAGCTATAATAAAAATCTACTACTTTAGATAAATATCCAACAATAAAAAAATTGTTTTCAAAATATACCTTTGGGGGAGGGTTGGCTCAAGTGGATAGTCATGGCTTTAAGATTAAAGGGTCTTGGGTTCAAATCTCTCAGGTGGGAGTGATTTTTATTTAATAAATTAAATATTAGTTCTAGTGCATAAGTAGGATTCCCCTCTCGGCCATTCAGTGCTGTTCCTAAAGTGGCGCTGGGAAACAGTAACAAAGCCTGAACAGAACATGATGCTAATAAACTAATTGATGCCAATGATAGCAAATTAAAAAAAAAATATTTACCCAACACTTGTTTACTGTCAAGTGTTCCTTGAATGAATGTTCTCATTCCCTTCTATAATTAAATCCTCAAGAAGGCATGCCTTGAAGAATCAAAATTTTGAAAATGTAGTTTTGTTAAAAGAGAATAAGGTAACAGCGCACCAGTAATTGACAGTGCACCAGCAATTGACACTTTATAATTAAAACTCGCCTAATAAGGACATGTGTTCAGATTTGTACATAATTCTCTGTCAATTTTAGTTAAATGGCAAAAAATGACAAATGTGTTAAGAATGTATATTTCGTTTTTTTTTTCTAAAGACATTTGTTAGGGTAAGTATATTATAAAATAGGTTATTGCTTTTTAAATAGTTAAGATATGAGAATGAAATGTTGTGAAAATATCTTTGCATTCTAAAACACATGTTTTTGGTAAAATTTAATTGCTTACTTATATTCAAGCCTAAATTTTAATGGTTGTGGATGACTAGGTACACATAGGTACGCATTCTCCAGTGTTCTACACTTCTTGTCAATTACTGGGGTATTAAGGGGCTCCGATGTTCGCCTCCTTAATGATATCTTAGTTGTGTCAATGACTAGTGAAACTGTCACGAACTTGTTGACAATAATTGGTGAAAATGTCCATAACTGGGGTGGTGATAACTGGTAAAGGGTGTCGATTACTGGTGTAATGAAAATTACATTAAATCAACCTTAGTTCTTTTCAGGTTTACTGTAAATGTAAATATGTTTTCTAATTTTATACCGTGTGTTCAAATTAAAGTGTTACAGTTAAATAACGCCGAAAATATGCATTTTAGAAAAAAAGTTTCAGACAAAAGTTTTATAGTTTTTTGGGGGAAAAATTTTGGATAAATTCATTTTTTTATAGCTGACCATAATATGGCCATATCGAGGTGAACTGTTTTTTTTTTAATGGGAATCCCATTTTTTTCTTACATATTCTTAAAGTACATAAAAAAATAAGAAACTTTTGAGGGAAATAATTTTTTTATTGGACTTTTACTTTTTGAGTAACAGCTACTTGAAAATGTTGCTGCGCGAAAAAAAGGGTGGCCATATTATGGTTAGCTATAAAAAACGATTTTAGCCAAAAGTTTTTCCCTAAAAAACTATAAAACTTTCGTCTGAAACGTTTTTTTTTATAAAAAGCGGTATATAGCTGTAACGCTTTAATTTAGAACACCCGGTATATTATTATTATTATTATTATTATGGAATGTAAAATATGTACTTATTTTTATTAAGATTTTGTTTTTCTTTATTAATAGCAAAATGGTTCATATCAGGTTCATATATTTTTAAAATGATTAAACCCCTAATATACTACCTTTCTAAGTATAAAAGTTGGTAAATATTTCAAATACAGTAATTATGTTTAAAAATACAGCAAAGTTTGTAGATAATGACTCGGATAATGACAATTAATTTTGAATAAAAAAACATGTATTTCTGCTCCAAATGACTTTAGCCATTAAATATATGATGCCCTCTGAGTTAAATATCAAAGACATGTTACGTATGTGTGAAGAAAAAAGTCATATTGGAATACAGAAAATTTTTTGACACTCATATTAATTGGATAAAGCCTAATTTATATATTTTATGTTTCAACTACTTTTTTTTAACTTTTTATCAAATTTGTTATTTTTTATTTGGCTTAATATTAGGTTCGTTCCAACATAAACCAAATCAGTTTACAAACTGTCTGGATTCTGCACAGTCTAGGATTCATGTTCCAACAAAATTCATACTCACAACTGTACAACAATCTAGTGTTCCAACAAATCAAAACTAATCACAAACCAGTTCCTGGGTCTGAATAAGAACAAATTGTCAAGACATGTGCAAATACTTTTCCATAAGTAGATATTTCATAATAGATACTTTAACCCTTTGAAGACTGTCAATATACTGAGACCACCTTTATAAATTCCTCTTACTTCCCACCTATCAGTTATATCACTGTGCTAAATTTAAAATCTACCTAGTATTATTTACGGAAGTTACTGGTGTTATTTTTCAAGTCTGTTTCATACTAAGAAGTGTTCGCATAAACACATTTTAAATTTTTATACAGATCACTGTTTTGTATGTGGTATTCTGGTACGAGTTCTGGTATGACCACAGGGCACTAAACTATTTCTTTAAGATGTGCTCAGTGCAGTACAACTGCAAATGTTAGCATCTTGCAATGTTGGACTTTGTTTCAAACAGGACAAAAATTGTTTTGAAATGTTCTATGCAAAAAAAATAAGAAGAATGGTCTAGTTTTTATTTCATAATATTTAATTTTTAATTAGTTTAACTTCCCACTGGTATATCATGAGAATACCACATCTTACAGGAACTACTGCAGGATTAGGATTGTTTATTTCGTTTTAAATTGTTTTAAAACTGTACAATAATAAATTTATTTTGCAAACATTTTTGGGTTTTAAAATAAAAATTGGGCCGCAAAGGGTTAAATTAGTTTACGAAAGTGTTTGGTTGTTGGTAATAATTACAAAAATGCTTTACCCAACTCTGGATGTGCAGCATTTAACGTTTTGAGTGCTGAATAAAATTTTAAGATAGGGGCTGAGGCGCCCAAACAATTTTATTCAAAATTAGTATTAAAGATGTATATTTAAGAAAGTATTCAATGTCACAAAATATATTACAGCAGTAATTAACTAATTAATAACACATATATTATGTATGAATGCAGCGCCAAATTAACAAATTGCTCTAGGCCCTTAAGATGAATATTATTTAGTTGGCACCTTGCCTAATGGTTGTAAACAAAATCTAGTAAAAGTTGGTCAAAAAAGGCTAAAAAAAAGATTAAATCTATGGATAAGAGAAAAGTGGAATAGTGTGGCCAAAAGACATTGATCATGGATAATATCTATACACACGGAGCCTTGGACCAGTGGATGTGTAAAGTATGTATGTATACACAAAGCTCTTAATATGTTAAATAAAAAAACAACTATTTTGATCTTTTATAGTAAAAAAATGTAAAATTTTGTAATCTACTGATAACCGATTCATTTAAAAACAGAAATCATGTTAAAAAGGGTAAAAATCTCATTCTATTGACTTACCTTCGTCCCGGGATATGACAGACTCGTCGGGAGATAAAAGTTCTTCTTGTGAGGCATCGCCTGCTTGATCAAAAATTATAGCCGTCGTTCTGACCTCTCTTAATCTCGTAAAATATTCTGAGGCATAATTAATCACGTCTCCGGGCTGCTCTAGAAGGTAACTTATAGTAAATTCGAGCAGTACTTCACGCAACTCGTCTGGAACATGTATCCGGGGTCCTGCTTGTCCACGATTCATAATCACTTTATTTTATTAGAAATATTGTTTACTTAAAATATTTAATTATTTGGTGCAACTTTTCTCTTAGATAAAAACTAGAAGGCTCAAGTACAAAAATGTCTAATTGATCGAGTAAAGTAGTTCAGTAAAAATGTAGGTTGATGAATTAATTACCAAAAAGAGTTTCTCATGTTTATTAAGCTTCGTGGAGAAATTTAATTAGTTTATTAGCACCATTCAGTTAATTCAAATCCACACACAGCAACTAATGTTCTGTCGATGCCGCAGGAATTAGTTATCTACCCTTACACCAACACAAGCCCTTTGCTAAAATGGAGGTTGTCTAAATTCCTATACCTCTGGGCTTTTTAGAAGATTTTAGGTTTGAAAGAAACCGGTAAAATGACTTTATTCCATCCTATCATATCGCTAAATTTCACTAGAAACAAGAAATGCCGAGCGGTCATCTACTATAAATCAATGATTAATGATCGACTGACAAAGTGACCGATACACTGACGACTGACAGGAGAACTGACATTTCAATATTGTTAAGTTAAAGCAGCGTTGCCACATTTAGTATATTTCTTACTTTTTCGGTAAATTTTCAGATTTTTTGTTAGTTCATTAGACAATTCTTTTTTTGTAGGTTTAATAATAGATTTTTTTAAATCAGTAAAAAATAACAAAAAAAAATTATTCAAATAAAACCTCCTATTTAAATAATTGTGTTGCTAAAAATGGTTGCCTGGAACGGTTTGATCAGCCTATCCCCTTGCCTTGCACATTGCATTTCTTGGGCTTTGGTTATAGTGTGAGTATGTATTTTCCAGTAATTCCCCTAAACGATAGAAATACATTTTTAAACAAAAATGTGTCTTTTTTTATTAGATGCCAAAGAAGGTTATTTGATGGATATTGGCGCTTGTACAAGTTTTGAACCAACCGTATACAAATGCTAAATTTAATTGAAGACCAAACCCTATATAAAGACATGAAATATAATAAGGTCATTTTTAGGATCATTTCTCTTTTTTTGTAATTTTAAAATAATTGTTTTGTTTAAAAAATGAATAATACCTAATAATTAAGTATCAGACTTGGTTCTATTTACTTCTCTTTGCAAATTTTAAGATATTTATTAGCCTGTGTTTGATTGAAAGATGGCCATGTTAGCTAAATGTTAAAAGTCCATTATATTTTCATATGGCTTGTGAGCCATCAATTAATAATTGAGGTTGCCTTGCGCTGGGGGAGAGTTACTTGTCCATTTCATGTTTGTGATTTTTAAGAGCTCTTATATCTATAAAATGCAAATTGGTTTTGGGTAAAAGATACAAAAAAGTGGGAATTAATCGATGAAATTGTATTTTTCAATAAGCGTTTATAACATTCTTGTAATGAATTTGTTGTGTCTGGATATTCATAAATACAAGATCAATTGACCCTTTCCCATTATTCGACATATTTGCATTACTGATGCGCGAAAAACCGCTAAATTTTGAATCTTGTAATTTTCATATCACTTTTTGCTATCTCTTTTATCTTCGCCTCAGGGCCGCCGAGAGCCAGGCCGGGCCCCGGGACAATTCTCTACATCGGGCCCTGTGACAAATCGTAACCAAAAACTTTTCGTTTTCTGAAAAAAAAAAAGGTCCTCACCTAGAAAATAAATTTTTTTCCCTACCTCAATTACTTCTTCTTCTAAAAAAAAAGGTCCTTAGCCGAAAAAAACCCCCTATAAGCTAAAACTTTTCCTCTAACTTTCAATCACATCACCTCCTCTATCTATTCTTATGTCGAATTTCTCATGCTGAAACAGAAAACCCTATTTTCGGGCCCCCCTTATAGCGCTGCCGGGCCCCCATTTCAGCCCGGGTCCCGGGAATTAGTCCCAACTACTCCCCCCCCCTCTAGTCGGGCCTGCTTCGCCTTACAACTGTTGGGTTGGCTACGACGATTACCCCTCTGTCATCGTTACTTTTAAACAACTGTCATCTATTCTATATAGTTGGGAACCCCATTTATACTTTTTTGATACACATTTACACAAGGCAAAATTATAAATATATCGTTTATTCTTATCCTGTAGAAGATGGAAATGCATTGCTGCAATCGATCTAGCGTTGAAATGCCCTGTTACCAAGCAAGAATAAAGTAATTGATGCCACCTTTCTTGAAATTCGGCTCACATTACTTTATTCTTGCTTGGTGACAGGGCATTTCAACGCTAGATCGATTGTAGGAATGTATTTCCATCGTCTACAGGATAAGAATTCACTTTTTCTACTAATGTTTTCTCGTTTTTTAAAACGTCCTCGTCAAAGGGGCCCATCATTGCACAGCAAACTATTTCCATGTTCTACAAGGTACGAAAGAACAAAATATTTGTAATTTTATGTTTCGTAAACAATACATCCAAAAGTGTCACTGGCTCCCCTACCAATACTATCAAACGCTAGTTTGGTGTGATGTCATTTTGGTTCCACTGACATTTAATTCTAACGAAATTTTTAACAATAACATTTGACATATACGTTTTCACTGTTTTTAGTTTACTTCTAAATATTGTTTACAGGGGTAGTATTTTCGAGTCACGAATATAGATTCGCATGCGAGATTTATGATTTGTCTCACTTGGTTTTCGTTCAACAAAGTGAGACACATTGTAAAACACGTATGCGAATGTCGGTATTCGTGATTCGAGAATACTACCCCTGGTCTTAAAAAATAGTTTAAAGGTATGTAATTGGTAACTAAACGATTGTATATTTGATGCATGTTATCTATTTACTTTAGGAATATATTTATGAAAGTGAAAAAACGATATAATTTAGGCAAACAAAACGAATTCAAAAAATCTACTGTCACTTTAATTGTCAGTGGAACCATAATTACATCATCACTGAACTAGCGTATTGGAACTCAGGGACACATAATAACAATAAATTTTGATGATTTTAAGCGGAAGTAGAATTTGCGCATAATAGCGATCATCAATAACGAGATTTTTTTTATGAATGTAATTTTGTTATTTGCAAAAGCTCTTTTAAATTTTATAATTCTTTCTTCAAAGTGTTTGGAAAATATATAAAGATAATTATTAAAATAGTCTCTGTTTTTGTAGTAGTACAATTAAATTTTAAAATTAACACTTACCAATTATTTAATCAACTTTTTTGGTCAGGTTTTAACAAAATAGATGCCGAATCGATTAACTGTATGATGGCAAGGTGACTCTGGGTTGTTACAAACCCTGTAACTGTTATTGATGGCAAAATAACTGTGGCCCGACTGTCGGACGTAGTATGCCGGCTCCTTTTGTAGGTAAAAGTTAAAAGACCATCATTAAAATTGGAGTCAGGCAGTTATTGGGCCATTACATATTTCCTTAGACTAAAATGTTTATTGGGTAATTATGAATAAATAAATTTTAAGCTTAATAAGGAATAAATAAATTTTCTGATTATATCTTGCGGTATACATTTTTCCTTATGTGTATTTTTCTTGCTTTCTTTTTTTATTTTTCCAAATATTTTTTTTTAATATACTTATATAAGAACGAGAATAAACGAGAACTTGGATGTAGAGCAACAACAATGTGCTTTTTTATACATAAAGTCCTATCTACATAAAATATATCGACAGAAAACTTATATATTTATGTACAAACCATTGCCGCGTTTGAGAATCCACATTGGATGCATCTGAGATGTAGTAAATCTTTGATCACGTGATTCAGTATACGTAAATGTAATGGGACGGATGTGTCCGATGTGGATAAAAAAACGCTCGAGATGTAAAAAATGCATCCGATGTGGATTCTCAAACGCGGCACATGTCCCTTCCAAAGATATGTGCTGTAAAAAAAGAGATCTGCCGTAAAAAAGGACATTTGAAGCTTTAAAAAGTCACAAGAACATTTTTCTTCAAAAAGGGACTGTCTTTTTCAAAAAAGGACAGGTGGCAACCCTAGTTCTGGTATTTTTTAAAATTTCTGTAGTGATTCCACTAAACATTCAGTAGATTTGTTGTAAACAATGTGGCAACGTTGGTTAAAAGCTTCACCAGCAACCCTGTAAATACTCTGCGATCACAAATAACAATGTTGCCAGTAAATCTTAAAAATTCGTACTAAACATTAAAACGTAATAGATTCGACTGGCAGGTTCAATACATTTATCTATTCTGTTATTCTTAATTTCATGATGAACTGCTATTTAAAATAGTATGCAATGTTAATAATTATAATATAGATAATGGCAAAATTAAATTTCCTGAATTCATCATAACTGGACAACGTATATTAAGAAAAAACTGCGGAAGTGTAATGCTTTTGCACAAAATTGTAGTAGAGTAGACATTAGACATGTTGCAGACATCAACTTTAAAATTTCAAATCCCTACCCAAACTTCTTTTTGTTTCTAATATTACACGTGACAAAATACAAAATTTATTTTATGTAGGTCTAGCACTCACACTTTTATTTTTCTATAAATAGGGGACACAATTTTGTTGCTAAATACAAATGGGAAAAAAATCGATTTTTTTTAAACTTCAAACCATATGCATTGGAAGGTTTTTATTTTAGAAATATTTGTATACCTACCTGCAAAAAAAACAGTTTAAACAGGCTATTTTTAAAGCATTGAATTAAATCGATTCTTGAAATAATTTAAAAATAGTGTTATTTGAAACTAATAATTTAAAAAACAAAGTTAGAGTTTCTTTGTTATTTTCCAAGTTTTAAATAACAAGAGAGATGATTCAATTTTTTACATGGATGAATATGTGTCTAAACAATGATTCACAATTGCCAATCAGTGAAAAAATATTGAAGATCCACATTTGCAGATATTTTGTTGAATAATGTAATTGGTACACATTTATTATTCATTAACCGATTTAATGACGTCTTCTATCTCTAATAGCTATTTGTTTTTATATTCTTTATTATAAGGAGTAAGAGGAATTTGATTCAGACAAGTCGACAAAAAATCGTTTTACTAAAAAATTAAAGGAAAAATGCTTACAGCTCAGGCATTATCAGACCTAGAATAATAAAACTTAATTACATAAATAATATTTAGTGTATTAATAAGGCAAAAGTTTATACTATATGTCACAGGTTAGTTAAATCGCAAGCCCATACACAGAAACGATGCAAAACATTGTCTTATTCTCCCAACGAACAGTACAACTGCCATCAGTGTTGTTATCCCAGTAACACGAGCTCGCTGTATGTAAACCTGCCCCGTTCTTTTGCATTATTGTGCAGGTGACGATGTACTTGTAGGGCTTCATCAATTTGGTTAATTCCGAAGTACATGCTTCTACAACTTCGGTAGTCCAATTGTTTACTTTATTCTGTTGATATCCATTCCCTCCTATGACTGTTTCGATAGCATCCTTGATGATCTTACTTACATCATCGACGACAAACTGACCTTCCTCTTGTAAATCTTGTGCTACTATTTCCTGTGGAGTTTTTTCCATTGATATGTCTGTAAAAAAACAATGTTATTTTTTTTGAAGCTCAACTTTTATATAAACGATTACCTTTGGTTATTAGATTTTAGTTATAATACCCCTAATTTCAATTTAAATATTTAATTTATCATCAATTAAATCAATACTTTTCATTTGTGCCGGAAATTTCTGTTGACGTTATATTTTAAGTGACGTGACAATTGACGTATTTTTAATGGTCAAGGTCATCTTGTCTTTTACTAAGGAGCTTTTCAGTGAAAGTTTGGTTATTACCGGAATAACATCGGTCTAAAATAAGCTTAAATGACGTCAGTGTTGTTTCATTACCGTCTACGGGTGAGATTACAGAACGTCTGCAACTTTGCAGATCTGCAAATATGGCGGCAACTTTGAAAATCTGCAAATATGACTGACTTACACATGCAAGTATCAAGTTTTCGTATTCCAAATTTGGGTTTAGTGTTGTTGGGGGTAATAAACCACAATAAATATTGCGAACATGGAGGATTGCGAATTTGCAGATATTTTTTGAAATACTTGCATTTGTAAGTCCGCCATATTTGCAGATCTGCAAAGTTGCAGACGTTCTGTAATCTCACCCTACATTAGCATCAATCAGCAACAAACCCCCCGAATTTTCGTGTATATTCACAAAAAAATATAGACCTTGGAAAAATTTCACGAATAGCGGGGCTTCACATTAGTAATCTATAAGCGGGGCTAACAATTCTTCTTTTTAAGTGTCAGTTTGGATTTAATTCAAAGCCGTACGTAGATGACTTACATATGGCTACATTTTTGTGGATCATTATATTTCATGTCGCTAGGTTTCCGGGATTATCCCGAGTACTTGGAGTTAAAGTAACGAATTGATTAGCACCCAACAGAGTTTACTGAAGCTTGGAACATGATTAGCGAGACATTCCAGTCGCATGTCTACTCAGATATGTATGTATTGGGAGCAGCTGTTTTCATGCCAATTATAATTGGCATCAATTAATGTATATAAGAGCCACAGTTTGTTTTATTTTTCCGACTTAGAACTCGGAAAAGTCGATTTTTCTGACATTACTCTAGATAGATTATTCCGACTAAGAACTCGAAACAACGCATAATTGCGACTTAGAACACGAAAAAGGAGATAATTCCGACTTAGAACTATAAAAAAATAGATAATTCCGACTTAGAACTCGGGGAAAATTGATAATTTCAACATAGAACTCGGAAAAATGGATTATTTTGACTTGGAACTCGGATAATCGATTTTTCGGACTTAGACATCTGAATAATTAGATTATTCCGACTTAGAACTCTGAATAATTAGATTATTCCGACTTAGAACTCTGAATAATTAGATTATTCCGACTTAGAACTCTGAATAATTAGATTATTCCGACTTAGAACTCTGAATAATTAGATTATTCCGACTTAGAACTCTGAATAATTAGATTATTCCGACTTATAACTCTGAATAATTAGATTATTCCGACTTAGAACTCAAAAAAATGATAATTCAGACTTTTAACTAGGAAAAATAGATCATTCCGACTTAGAATTCGGAAAAATAGATTATTCCGATCTAGAACTCGGAAAAATCAATTTTCTGACTTAGAACTTCGAAAAATAGATAGTTCTGACTTGAAACTCGGAAAAATCGATTCGTTCGATCCACTTATAATTACTCCAAAAGATTATTCCGACTTGAAACTCTACGGAAGCGTAAATGTGCCACAATATCTATTTGTGTATTAAGAGCGGGAAGTGTTACCTTGGCGTTTAAGATAAAAAGTAACCGCACGACGCGCTAGCGGAAATTTATCGTAAGCGACAAATAGCTTTCCGCGCCTATGATTACACGTATTGCCAAATTCAAATTTTAAATCAGTGTTGAGTCACCGCTAATCTCTAATGAGTGTGTTATGTGTATGTTGTCTTGCCTACCTACCTGTGGATTGAAAACAAGATAATTCTATTTAAAATATTTCAATTATGGTTTAAATATCAAGGGACAGTTTTGATTATTAGATGATCAACTAAAATATTCAGATTAGACTACACTATGTTTTAATGGGTCCTATGATTGAACGTTTACGTTATCCGTAACGTACATGTTAGGCCGAATTTTAACAGCAACGAGGCAAATTCGTTAAAACTCGGCCTAACGTGTACGTTACGGATAACGTAAACGTTCAATCATAGGACCCAATATACTTTTCTAATTAAAATAAGCATGACAAATCGGGAAAACGTTAACGTTCTAGTCAAATTTGAATATGCACAAGGTTAAAAAGTTTACTTTGTACTTTGGAATTAAAACTCGGAAAAATCGATCTTTCTAACTTAGTACTCATGAAAATGAATTATTCCTGCCTAGAACTGGGAAATTATTCCGACTTAAAACGTGGAAAATTCGAAAAAAATCGTTTTTTCTGGCTTTAGAACTCGGAAAAATAGATTATGCCGATTTAGAACTCGGAAAAATAGATTATTCCGATTTAGAACTCGGAAAAATAGATTATTCCAACCAAGAACTCAAAAAAATTGATTTTTGTGATTTTAGAACTAAGAAATAGAGTATTCCGACTTAGAACTAAAAAAAAATCGATTTTCCTGACTTTAGAATTAGGAAAAATAGAATATTTCAACTTAGAACTCGGAAAAATAGATTATTCTGACTTAGAACTCGGAAAAATCGTTTTTTCCCGTATTATAACTCGGAAAATAGATCATTCTGACTTGGCACTCAGATAAATCGATTTTTCTGGCTTTAGAACTTGGAAAAATAGATTATTCCGATTTAGATATCAGAAAAATGGATTATTCCAACCAGGGCCGCCGAGAGCCAGGCCGGGCCCCATGACAATTCTCTAGATCGGGCCCCGTGACAAAAAAAAGCTCCTCAAGCAAAAACTTTTCCTCCTCTACTTCAATTGTTGCCGGGCCCCCATTTGAGCCCGGGCCCCAGGAATTAGTCCCGGCTACCCCCCTCTAGTCGGCCCTGATTCCAACCTAGAACTCAAAAAAATTGATTTTCCTGACTTTAGAACTAGGAAAAATAGTTTATTCCGACTTACAACTCTGAAAAATTGATTATTCGACTTAGAACTCGGAAAAGTCGATTTTTCTGGCTTTAGAACTCGGAAAAATAGATAATTCCGACTTGGCCCTTAGATAAATCGAATTTTTTGACTTAGAACTTCGGAAAAATAGATTATCTCGATCTACAACTCGAAAAAATCGATTTTTATGATTTTAAAACTAGGAAATATAGATTATTCCGACTTAGAACTCGGAAAAATTGATTATTCCGATTTAGAACTCAAAAAAATAGATTACACAACCTAGAACTCAAAAAAATCGATTTTCCTGACTTTAGAACTAGGAAAAATAGTTTGGATTTAATTCAAAGCCATACGTAGTTATCACAGATGACTTATTTATGGCACGGTATACTTTAGCTACATTTTTGTGGATCATTATATTTCATGTCGCTAGGTTTCCAGGACTATCCCGAGTATTTGGAGTTAAAGTAACGAATTGATTTGCACCCAACAGAGTTTACTGAAGCTTGGCGCATGATTAGCGAGACATTCCAGCCGCATGCCTACTCAGATATATGTATTGGGAGCAGCTGTTTTCATGCCAATTATCAATTAATGTATATAAGAGCCACATTTTGTTTTATTTTTCCGACTTAGAACTCGGAAAAATAGATTATTCTGACTTAGAACCAGGAAAAATCGATTTTTCCGGTTTTATAACTCGGAAAATAGATTATTCCGACTTGGCACTCAGATAAATCGACTTTTCTGGTTTTAGAACTCGGAAAAATAGATTATTCCGATTTAAATATTGGAAAAATAGATTATTCCAACCTAGAACTCAAAAAAATCTATTTTCCTGACTTTAGAACTAGGATAAATAGTTTATTCCGATTTAGAACTCGGAAAAATAGAATATTCCAAATTAGGAGTCGGAAAAATAGTTTATTTCGACTTAGAACTCGGAAAAATAGATTACTCCAAACTAGAACTCGAAACAATCGATTTTTCTGACTTATTTTTCCAAGTTCTAAATCGGAAAAATAAACTGACAAGTCGATAACCAACAGTGACCTGTCAAATGTACTACAGTAATCAAGTCATTAGAGCAAGCGTCGAAATGTCCTTGGTATAGCCTTCCTTGTTACCGTACTGAATATTATGTAATGTCATAATAACCACACACTTCACTATTTAACCGTTTATAGGGTACTGGGATCTATACTTCCCACCAGGAATTTAGCCTTAAGCTCTATGGTTATTATGTTTTTCAGGTGCGCAGTGTACTTTTTGTCGTCCATTGTATGCTCGAGGGTCGATTTTTGTATTTTAGGAATTTTTGACAATTTTTTATAGATCGGAAATTCATGACATTTTCCTACATATAGGAAAGTGTTACAAATTCCCATAGGAAAAGGTCCATACAAGTCGAGAATCGATCTCTATGTTTTGCGGCGACAAGCTCAATCTGTTGCTTGCCAGAGGTTTGATCAATTCCCAAAGTGGGCAATATATATTTCAATAAGCGTTCTTGTGTCTTTTTTTAAGAATATTTTTCTATTTTAAAATTATTGTACTGCCTGTGTTTTTGAAAATTGGCAATGATTAGACAAGTACTATCGTCCTAAATTAATAGTGTATAAATTTAATATAAAAAAAAAAAATAATAATTATGCAATCTTGGGTCAGTTGATATTTTGGCTGTAAATAATAATAAATAAAACAAAAATCCAAAATTTTTAATCTACGAATAAAATAAAAACCAACGAGCTGTAAAAAATGACACAAAATTTTATGGCAGAGTCTGTTGAAAACTTGAAATTTTTAGAATAAAATTTAGAGGTAAAAAAGCAATAGGTGGATTTATAGTAAACAGGTCTTATATATGATTTTTTTGTAAAATTAAGAGGACTTTTGATATTTATAATAGTAAAATTTCAGTACTAAACATTTTTTTTAGAATATAAATTTATAGGCATTTTTTTTTAGACGTGAAATATGTCGGCGTTATCTGAAAAAGAATTGGAAGCTTTAGTAAATGAATTTGTGTATGATGTTACGGATGAACAGGTGTAAAAACCTAAAAAAATTACAATACATTCTTTGGAAGAATAAGTTCCCGCCCAAAAAACAAGTCTTTTTCT